TTGCCAAGACACGCAAGCTTGTTCCTGTGGAGTGATGAATACTTTCAAAATGTCTTTCCCCCTTCCCCCCTAGCATCCCTGTCAACAATTATACATGAAAATGAAAAAAGAAAAAGAGGAAAACTATGGTATAGGAAAATGTAAGAGAATTCTTGACTGTAATGTTATAAAAGGATTTATATAGCTAGAAACATTTTTTTACAGACCTCTCCCATATCAATATATATCACAGAAACTGCATTTGATGAACTGTCACTCATACAGAAACTAAAGACTTGATCCAAAAGACTGAAGCACATCTTTGCACACTGACAAACACACACGCATCTTTGGCCATGAAATCTTTCTGGTAAAAATAACTTTTAACCAGTTATAAATGGCACAAAAAATGGTAAAAAGAGAAAAAACAAAGTCAGCCAAAGCATGCCAAAATGTTAAAAATTAATGATACCTGAGTTTCCTCTTGATGAAGAACCTGTAGGAACATGGAATTAAAATGATGGACATGTTATTTACCATCAAAACTATGTCTTTACAGGTCATGTAGACAGAAGTAATCAATATTCTGTGAAGACTGTCAAAAATTCCAAAATATTTGCTAAGCAGAATCTAAAAATATATATAAAAAAAGTAAAAACAAACTAGAAATAAGTCCTCTTTCATTGGGGAAGCACAAGAGAAGTTGCTCTAAAGGATGTGATAGTAAAGCTTCACAAAATTTCATAGGATATGATCAGAAAACTTTCACTCCTGTATTCCCCATCATTATTGTTTTCTGAAGTAATTATTCCAATTATCATAATAATTTAACTAGCTAGCTTGAAATGGATTCAAAAGACTAAATAAATTCCAACTCCAGAATCATGCTACCACTGGTTATCACAAAATACCTCCACTGCTCATCCAAGAAACCAAACCATAAAATATGAAGGTCCGCAGGACAACCCAAACACATCTCGCCAGAAAGATATACACACAAGATCTTACCATCTGCACCTGCCATATAAATATTCATCTCTCCTTAGAAAATAAATTTCCCGCAACTATTCCAAACTCGATTGTTCCAAGAGGTCTAGAACTATTCCTCCCAATCCATGTAAAATACAAGAACCATATCCCCACATAACGTGGATTTCTCATGTGAAGTTTAATCATGGAAATATGATGGTCCAGCACAAAATACAGCAATCACATCTACTTATTTGGTATGCACAAAAATCACTACTTTAAATAATTGTAAATAATCCAATCCTACTTCAAAATAAACTTTTACTTCTGATCATTCACTGCACTTACCTGATACTTGCCATGGTTTAGGTTGAATTTAAGATTAAGAAAATAAAAAATATCACATAAAACAAATAAAAAACAGTGTCTGAATTCTACATTACCAAAATCTCATCCCAGAATATCATCAATATTCCCAAAGGGATATATCTTTTTACTGCACAATTCAAAATGTATCAAAATATGTTGCCCAACAATGATCAAATATCACATTACAGACTTGACAGATTGCAAGAACTCGTCTGAAAGTCATAATGGTTTCAATTTGATCTAAGTTCACATGCTTTGAATCTTTCAGCTGCCATCAACAAGAGATATGCTATACAGAGAGTTATTCTACAATGTCCTAATAAATATCAATAAAGGTGAATTTGCCCCTATATTTGGCTGCCAATCTAAAGTGTAACTCCAAACAGCTTGGAACACATGAAGTATACCACATAAATCAAAGGACAAAATAAGTTTAAAGTGTTGAAAAAGCTTTATACTTTACCTTGTTCCCTTTCAACTGAAGGACCTTGGCATCTGTCCTCTTATTCAGAGTTATTTCTTTATACAAATATACTCACTATTTAATTAACACATTTATTACAACATTTTTGCATTCCGTACTCTTTCCCTACAACTGTAGCTGCCATGACCGATCTACAAATTAAACATAGGTTTACAGAGATTTCTGATCAAGTATTTTCTCTGAAATCACATGATATCTACATGTATCATATTTCCATATGCATACATACAAACACATACTCACATGTATATATATATATATACGTAGATATCAATATAGCTCTAGCCTGGAAAATTTTTAAATTCAAATTTCATTATCAAAAATAGGCCATCATCACCATTTGTCAATTCTAAGAAATTTTTGAGGTAAGATGTACAGCATACAAAATTAGTAATCAAGATTACTATATATTGATGTGCTGCATCAAAGTGAGGCTCTGCCCTCTTAGTGACATCATTAACTTAAATTAAAACAAAGTCAATAACTTACCCATAAACAGAAAGTAACACAATTACACTATATACTAATATCATTGCATCTCTAAAAACAAACAAAAAAACACATACAACAAACTTTATGGCTTCCATATCTATATGAACTAATTTTTGCATTTCTACATTATCTTGTAAATCATAGAGAAATACTGGAAAGCTGTGTTAATAACAAGAGATATGACATATTGGAGAAGAGATGTGATTCATACCACTGCAACCAGTGTAAATCAAGAATCTGAAAAGTTCTAATCAACTAAAATCAAATGTAAAGTAAAATGTTCCTTTCCTTGACTTTTTTTAAATACAAATATCTGAAGTGAATGTATAAAAGATATGAATAACATCGGTTTGGTTCTTGGTCACACTGGCGACGTAATAATAACTCATGAGACATATATAGTAGGTTTTAAATGATTCAAAGTGTGCCCATCTTATTCATCATTATCATAATCAAACATTTGTATGCAGTTTGTTATCTGCTCAATAATTTCCCACACACTAGCTGCAGGAGACAAAACATGACAAGAAGTTAAAGGAGAGAGAGGGGGGAGAAAGAGTGAAAGACAGAGAAAAGAAGAGGGGAGGCTTAACACGTAAAAGCAGAGTGAGCACTGACACAGCCCAGCATTTTCTTAACTCGGATTTACACAGGTTGCTCATATTTTGGGTCAGAAAATACAAGAGAATCATAAGCCATAAAAATTTTGTTATGAAAATAAATACATCTTTGGTAAACCTTTCATGTACAACTTTGCTCTCTTTGCAAGCCCCACCCACTTACAATGGGGAGATGTATGTGAAGTGCTATATTAACCCTTTTGGACCACACTTCCCTATTCACTCTCCCATCAGTTGTAAATCACCCTGAAATTTTACCCAGAGGTAAATTTGGTCTTTCAGGTTTGAAGCCTTCAATTAAACACCAGAAAGTAAGTTTTGTGCTAGTATGTCAAATAATCACCGAGCTGTGAAGCCTCAAAAATGAAAATGTTACACTTTACATAAGTGAAAATGGGTTAAATATAGGACCAACATAAACAACATAGCATATGTTTCTCAAATTTCATAAAGCAATGAATCATGGATTTAAAGATCAATATAAATACAAGAAACATACATAATGACATTTTGAATAGCTCAGCCATGAACGAAGGGAGGCAAAGGGAAGAGGTCAAAGGAAGTGATAGTGTGTGCGGCAGTCTCTGACAACTTTAGAAGGGGTATAGGAAGAGCATTGGGCAGTAGGAGAAGCCACTCAGACACAAATTTGTCCCAGTAGGGTAATAAATGATGGAGTATAGCCCTAAGTGTACTTGAGGCTGAGAAGATGCCAAACTGCTATAGATATATCAACCCCATTGGATCTGGGTGCCTTGCTGCCTGCATGTGGACCAAAATCCAGGCATTGGGCTTAATTGAATGTTGACTCTCCTTGGTGCGTGGCTTGTGGCCCAGCCCACACTAATGCCCATGCACAATTAAGACTCCCCTTTGCAATCTCATTTTCTGCATATGCATATTTTGCTTTTCTACCATTTTCTAAGGTCTATATTTGTCATTTGATAAGCTTTATCAATATAGAAATTGCTTGTTTTCCTTGCACAGACTCCATACCATTTCTCTAGGTAGTCTAAAAAGTCAAGTCAACAATAATAACAAGATAAGATTGTTATTTTGAGTCAACGTATTACTATTTTCATATTTTTTAAGCAATTTTCTATAATACACCTTATGTCTCTAGTCACGGCAGGTAGGAATAGGATCCTGAGCATGGAAAGTGTCCTGGAGTGTCTCTGGAGCCAGTGCTCTTCTATTTATGGCTCACAGATAGTACACTCAACCCTTGTTTACTGCAGAAATAATGCAAGAGTCTGTTCTTAAACACCCACTAAGCCTAATCTTTCTTCTAGAGCTATGTGCACTTGTGGCAAGCCATTCTCTTCACCTAAGCCTTCAGACAAATTTTTTATGACTGAACATTCCTGTCATTCACGCCTTTAGCCAAATTTTTCATGGTATGACAGTCACAGCACCCGGATCCAATTGGCAAATTTACAGTCACTATGTCCAATTCAGACCAAAAGGTAGTTCTGTATTTAGAGGTTAATAAAAGCAGTCTGCTGAGGTCATACTTTCTGTATTTACCCAATACCATTCTGTGTGATTGTAAAGTTTCTTATAGTTGTATTTCAGTAAGTTTTTCTGGGGAGGGGGAAGCAGTGTTTGGATAAATTATTTACAGACATATTAAGAGGAATAAATAGATTTTCCAATTACATTTTGGGGAGAAATTGTTTTATTTTTTGGGTAATTATTTTTACAATGCCGACGCACTCACCAGAGACTAAGTTCCCAACTCCACGTCACAAAATTTATTCAATTGGGAACTGCACAAGGGGAGGGTTGATGGGGGCTCATTGTTTTCGCCTCAATATCATGGCAAGATACGAGATAAAACTTGGGAGCTCCAGGTGGACTTTGGCTGTGGACCGTACTTTCCATAATCTTTTTCCTTAATTCATGGTGTTACCATTTGAGTCTACAGAGTATTTCTTGTACAAATGACAACTTTTAGTCCTCTACAAGAATATCATCTTTAATTTTCCCTATCTTAGTGTGTCCATACAGTAATGATTAACCTTACACTTTAACACACTAACATTTTCACATTGATTTTGCTACCAATGAGGTGAATTTTCTTACGAGTGTAGAATCTGTAGTACAACTCAGCCTGAAAGTACCCTTTCATTTGGGTCTTTGAGCTACATCTGTGCAGCTGGATAAGGTTGAGGAAACTAATGTCTTTTAAGGTCAAACGAGACTACATTTGAGAAGATTCTGGGTTAAAAATGTGGCAAATCTTTGATAAAATAAATTATATATTTTCACTTTTCAAATATTAACATCATTTTTTGACATTTTGATACAGCATATGCCAGGAGTGGCTACATAAATGCCAAATGTATGCAAACACCAAAGATATATTTTCCAATAATTCATAATTTATAGAAATCTTCAATCACTCTTCATAACTGCATTTTTAGGTCATTAATGTAAGGCACATTTTCACTGTTGCATTTCCATTTCACAGAGAATGTAATTATGTAATAGATCCTTGTACATAGTTTGCCAGATCAGATGTTGCGTCAATCCTGTGTTTCCTGACTTGTTATCGAGTCATCTTCTCCTGATAAGCACAACTTTTCTGGAATTTCATATACAGCTAGTAACTGCAATATCACTTCTGTTGGGAAGTGTACATCTTGGAAGATATCTGATGTGGCACTTAAACAACACTATCATTTTAACAGTATTGGATGTGTTCTAGCCAAATCCACCTCAAACTTGATGTGATCAGTATTGGGTACTCCTACAAGCTCCAGTTCTTTCCCACAGTGTCATGGTGTCAGGCAAATACCATTGCACCAGCTGGCAGGGACCATACTGATTGACATGAGTCTGGTGCCAGATACACACTTATCTTATAAACAAGTACTAATATTTTATTTCAGAGACAATATCTATAGTTATTCTTTACAGTACGGATGCACATGCCAGTGGCTAAGTCCCCAACTCCATGTCACAATTTCAACACTCTAAGTTGCCATGACTGGGTGTGCCTAAGGGGAGGGTTGATGGGGGTCCCCAAAACCCCCTAGGAAGCACTGTCTTCACTTCAGTATCCACGGCAAGATAAGAGCTGAAGCTCGGGAGCACCAAGTGGGCTTATGTTGTGGTCGGTACTTTCCATGACCTCTTTCCTTTATATGTGGCATTACCTTTCATGTTTGCAGATTCTTTATTAGTCCCCTACAAGAATATTATCTTTAACTGGCCCTAGCTTAGTGCATCCAAACCGTAAAGATTAACCACATTCACGTGTAAGGTTTCCACACCATCTTCAATTGCACAAAACCCAGCATCAATTTATTAATGAATGTTTATCCCTAGATAATACACACAAGTCTTAGTCTGTACGTCTGCTATAGGTGTGGGTAACAGAGGAAAATACCATAAAATCTGATGTTTAGCAAGAAGCAGCTTTCAGTGATTCATCTTCCCAAAATCAATGAGCAAATATTTACTCTGAGTTTGTCCTCTCTCTCCCAGACTCTTGACATCTTTTCACATGGACAGTGAAGTGACATCCGCATTATTTTGAAGTCATTTGCTGTGACGGAAAACAGGTGACGTCTTCACAAACCTCCTTCAAAAACATTACTGTCTTTTATTCACAGAAAATACAAATCCAGGCAGGAGCGAATTACCTCACTGGGCCATTCACAATCAGCGTGTCATATAAACCCCTACAGCTCAGTGAAGGCCCTAGCTCAACATAATACGAGGCACGGACACCCTGTAAATCAAGCCAATGACTCTGGAAAAGAAAAAGGAAAAAAATATGTATGACAAATTCGGCCCCATCCCTCAGCGAACACTCCCCGGTCCTCTACAACCCTAATTCATCACCCGAATTCTCCCCCAAAACCCTCATGAAACCCCCCTTTTTCCATTACCTCCATCTCGCAAGATCACCACAACCGTTCCTCGCTTAGGCTGCCGTAGGTGAGAGTGGTGATAAGGCTGTCACAAGATCAGAAAACAGTTGGAGTTTTATGCTTTTGCGCGCAGGTCTTCGGGGCGGGCGGCGAGGGTTGCCACTTCGCCTTAAAAATTCGTGTCTAGCGATGGGAAGGTGTCGAGCGGAAAGTCGCTAGGTTTGGGAATTGACAACGAGGTTTAGTTTAGTTTTTATATCTATTTATTGATCCTTATTTCTTATTGGTTGTCATTGTGAGAGGGTCGTTTCTGTATGTTCGTGACGGAGAGTGGTGTTGGGCCTAATTATGGTGGTGAAGTTGATGCTTTATTGCAAATGAATCATCTCATGCTAATTCTCTCTCTCTCTCTCTCTCTCTCTCTCTCTCTCTCTCTCTCTCTCTCTCTCTGATTATATGTTTATCTACATATATCCCTATATCTATCCATCTACCTGTATCACGCCTATCTATCTATGTCTATAACACACACATGTTATATATTATATATATATTATATATATATATATATATATATATATATATATTATATATATATATTGTATGTATGTTTGTATATATACATGCACACACACACACACACACACACACACACACACACACACACACACACACACACACACACACACACACACACACACACACACACACACACACACACACACACACACACACACACACTGTCACCCGGCACACAAAGGTACACCCCCTGTATACCAGAATCGGCCGATGCGGGCACCACAATCATCGTGGTATTCGACCGGCCACAGAGGGAGCTTCTCGGCGCTGGGAACACTGGCCAAGTACACCTGCGTGCTGTTTAACCTTAATGGAAGCCTCTCGTGCGGTTAATGTTGTAGCACGCTCTGGCCATGTTTGTTTTGAGAGTGCAGTATGTGAATCTTTTAAATATATGATATTCTGGGTGAATGTGTCCGCGACTTGCATGTTGTGTGTGAGATTTTATTTTATTGTCTCCATTTTTCAGGAGGTGACAGCGTGTAGTGGCAACTCTACACGAACTTGCAACTAGAACCAATGGTCGTTTATCAAAATAAATTATTTGTAATGTAATTGTACCGTCAGTGAAGTGACGTTGCACGGTTTGGCTATTAAGATCTTATTTTTTAAGCATCTTTTAAAGTGGTTCTAGCACTAAACTGACTAAATCGTACTGGAGTAAATGTGTATCTGTAAACCTGCGAAGATAAGATAAGTGCAACTTCCGCCTCAGTATTGTCTCTTTGTGTCGCCGCCGAATGGGCGGATCCGAGATACGGCGAAGGCCCTCGGCGGCGGCGGCGGCTCCACGCCCTGGCGCGCGAGACGCCTTCGGAACCGACCGAAAAATGCGCATGTAGCATAAGTGGGTGTGTCCATGCATACATATACATATACATGTATATATATATATATATATATATATATATATATATAATATATATATATACACACACACACACACACACACACCACACACAACACACACATATATATATATATATATATATATATAATATATATATATATATATATATATATATATATATATATATATATATATGTATATATTATATACATGTATTATATGTATATATATGTATGTGTGTATGTGTCCATATAAATGCACACACTATTAAAGCAGGTATTGGGATTGGTTGTGAAGAGAGAGAGAGAGAGAGAGAGAGGAGAGAGAGAGAGAGAGAGAGAGAGAGAGAGAGAGAGAGAGAGAGAGAGAGAGAGAGAGAGAGAGAGAGAGAGAGAGAGAGAGAGAGAGAGAGAGAGAGAGAGAGAGAGAGAGAGAGAGAGAGAGAGAGAGAGAGAGAGAGAGAGAGAGAGAGAGAGAGAGAGAGAGAGAGAGAGAGAGAGAGAGAGATCGAGAGAGAGAGAGAGAGAAATATTCAGGGCACTTCTAGACCTTTAATAGGTTTAGGGCAGTAGGGAGGCGATGAGGCAGATGCAGGCAGCACCACATCAATAATAATTTATGCACAGCATAGCGAGTGAAGACGGCGATAAGGCTGGGCGGCCAGAGCAGAGGGTCTCCAGTCCATGAACACCAGTCGCCGAGAATATGAAGGATCTGTATGTTTGAGGTTTTGCAGGAACCGGTATTTGATGGAAGCCGCTCTTACGCTTTGCCCACGAGGAGGCACTTCACTGCGGCGATGTAGATAGGAGATAAAACATAACAGGATAGTGAGAATGACAGCTGATACGAAGTACTTAGTTCATATTGTATCGGGACATCGATAAAGTAATTCAACCAGTGTGACGTATATATATATCATCATAATTACAATATTAACCATTTGCTGGAATGTGCTGCCATCATCCTCTGCTACTTGTGGCCGATCACATGTTTTTCTTTAAAACGCATATCAAAATCACTTCACAAGGAAGCCTCATCTATGCGGTTATAAGCAATGCGCATAGAGATCACATCTCAAATATGTTTCTTCATGTACTATAGTAACTTTAACAGAAAAGTGTATTTATTATCTTACAGTTGTCATCATGTCTATAAGTTATTGCCGTAACATATTGATGATAAAATGTAGAAGACAAGAAGCATGCAAAGGCAATAGGACAGAAATTCGACGACTATCACACTTTTTTCTTTGAGAAACTAATCAAACGGATTCCAGTTGATAACACTATCGGTATCGGAAATGTCTACAGCGTGGTTACCTAAAGTTGGGCGATCTACAGGAAGGTGTTTGACATATTGCCGGGTTACAGCGAAAGCGAAGCCGTACTTTCTTCTCCGAATGGGAGTCAGGAACCGAGATAAGGGTTAACCCAAGACTTGTTATTGGAAGAGGACGAAGGAAAAAGGGGGCGATGTAATGACAGCTTGGATAAAGATTTGGATTTTAGGTTATGCTGCAGAAGGAAATATCCAAATAATTCTTTAAAGTCTACATTGTGCTTCTGATACTCGCTTCAAACATGGGAACTGATGTACTAGCATGGTGTCTCGCACTGAACTGAAAAGAATGGGGAATGTTAGTGCATGCTTGTAAGAAAGGGAATATATTTTAACGGTCAGACAGCGGCGGCTACACACATACGCAAATACATAAATATGAATATAAACATGTATTCCCACATATATATTTTTTCATTGCTGGTACAGGATATTAAAAACAAAATCTTT